TTATCATACAGTTCTGGAGGCCAGAAGTACAAAATGGGTTTAACTAGTTTTAAATCAGGGGGCTGGCATGGTTGTGTTCTTCTCCGGAAGTGGTGGGGAAAATCCTTCACTAGAGCCTCCCTCAGAGAATTTTCTTGCCTTTTCCAGCTTCTAGAGGCTGCTCACATTCCTTGGCTCGTGAGCCCCTCCAAGCTTTAAAGCCAGCAATCACATCTCTCCAACCTCTGCTTCCACTGCCACATCTCTGACTGTCTTCCACCTTCTCTTCTACTTTCAAAGACTCTTGTGATTACACTGGGTCCACCTGGAAATTCCAGGATAATCTCTTTATCTTAAAGTCAGCTCATTAGCAAGCTTAATTCTATCTACAACCTTAATTCCCCCTTGGGATATAACCTAACGTATTCACAGTTATATGTTCTGGAGATTAGAATGTAGATATCTTTAGAGGGCCATTATTTTGCCTACCATGGTATTTTTGAGAATTCTGCAAGCCCTCTTGTAAATACACTATAGAATTATAAAACTGAATTTTAGACTATAATCTTAAATTGTCAGCTAAATTTTTAAATCTATAACATAAATACTACCCCCCCAAAAAACCCAGCAAAAACAGTTTAAAATGTTGAAAGTAAATTTTTTCCACATAGGTCCAGTTTTGTTTTTTTAAAAAAGGCCTTTATAAAGCACTTTATAGGGTAAAGTGTATATGTATATGTTACAGATATTTCATAACATATTTTAATAAAGCTTCTGAGAATTATGGTAGCTACAATGCCCTGTTAAGAGATGAAGAAAATGAGATTCAGGGAGTTTATGGGATGTTCTCAGCATGTGTAGAGTTAGTAAATAAAGCAGCTAATAGCCAGTATACAAACCCAAGTATCATTAGAGTCAAATGTTTATTTTACTATACAATAAAAATAAAAAATCAACTTCTTATAAGTTTCCACAACTGCTAACTTACAGACAATAAATATCCCTTATTCTGTGACTAAATAGCTACAATTTTTTGAACTTTATCTCCCATTGGAAACCACATGCATTAGAAGAAAAATCAATAAATTTGACATATGAACACATTACATCATCATAAAAGTCCCTGTGTGACCAAATATAAATTAAGCCTCCAAATGAAAAATTATTTCCAATACAATTTCTTCCACACATACAAATTTCAGCCCCTTCATAATACTAAAACAGAAGTTGCAACAAGATCCCTTGGTCTCAGGGTAAAAAATAAACTTATTTCATTCACTGCCTTGAGTATCATTATTTTCTGCATACCAATTAGGAACAACCACCAGAAATTAATGGACTATGTCTATTCATAAATAAACAGCAGATCTTGTCCTCTTTTTCCTTGTATTTATTGTACTGAGCCCTGGAAACCAGTAGAGTGGAATAGTTAGGACAAATAGGCTTCAACTCAAGGGCCAACTCTATTCAACTGGTAGAGGCTACCAGGAGTGCTAAGCTGTCTGGAACCAATGGCAAAGGATGCTTTGACTGATTGGTAATTCCTGCCATGAGCACAGGGTGGAAAAATAGCATAAATGCCAGGTATTTGCCATCCCACATTAGGGCAGAGGCTTTGGAACAGAGCAGATCTAGGCTCAAATCCTGACTTTGTCACTCACTAACTCTATGCCAGTGAACATATTACTTTCTCTCTTTGGGTCTTCGTTTCTTCTTCTGTAAAAAGGGGATTATAATACCTACTGTGTGGGTTACAATAAAGATTAAGCTATATAACTTATGAATGTCCTAAACTGAAGACCCCATACACAGCTAGTGTCCAGTAAATGCTGGGCACTAGTTATCATTAGTTAGTATAAAATGGTATCATTAGTTATTATAGTTACTAGTTATCATTAGTTATTATAAAATGGTAAGTTGTCAGAATTTGCCTGTTGAAATCCTCTAATTCAGAAAAATGGATTTCCTTGTGATTTTTTTCAATCTTTAACCTCAAGTAAAAATATTTTTGCCAACAGGAATTAAATAAAATCTATAATTTTAGAAAATACAAAATCATACATTGTTTCTAATTTTCTTAAAACATACTATTTTCTTCACCAATTTTATCCTTTTCTTTTAAATAGAAACTCAATTCCTTTGGATAGCTTAGATCAGAATCTGTTGTTGTTTGTACCTAATTTTCTTTCTAATAAAATGGACTGGATACTGCAGTACAGTATTTTACAAACCATGAGTCACAACCCAATAGTGCATCATGAAATCAATTTAATGGGTTATGATCAATATTTTTAAAAAATGAAACAGAATAAAACATAAAATACCAGAGCATGTAAAAAAGGTAGGTATTTTTGTTCCATAAAAGTTTGTTTCCAGTATGTGAGAAAGGAGGCAATGGGAGGAATCCCAACAGATGGATTTCTGTGACTATCGATGCAGTTAGAAAGTAAAATATACCCTAGCCTGTGTATACATACTTTAGCAGCCCAGAAAGTTAGACTTCAACCTCTACTCGATGCAAAAAAAAAAAGATGGAATAAAAAAGGATAAATGATTTTTCTCCCTTCAATCAATCCTACCAATTTTCTTCCACGAGCAATAAAATGGTCAACTAATATGTCTCCAGGAAAAAAAATGACTTCTCAAGAACTATAAGGTTCACCTTCTCAATAGAGCTATCTCCTAGATTAGATTAGATATAGGCAGAAAAAACAGCTGTGTATCTTGTTGGTAGTCCCCAAGACCACCCCACGTTTGAGGATTGGTAAGTGGCTCAGACCTATATAGTGATGCAGTAGGAATATATAGCTGCAGGTAAGGGAAAAAGACATGGAGAAATCCATGCATTGGCTTCCTTATTCTCTCTGCCTCCTATGAAGGAGGAACACTTGAGCATGCTTCTTTCTCCACAACAAAAAAAAGCAGTGACATGTGTGCAATGACTTTCCTCACAGAAGTTGATCAGAAATTCAGCACCCAGAGTTTTTACTGGGGACTGGGAGGATGATCACCCAGGCACCCTCTGCCTGGGTGGTGGGACAAAATTCCAGATTCCTAGGAGAAAAGCTGGTGTTCACACAAACGGCTGAGGCAAAGCAAACCACCCTTACCAGACAGGGAAGGGTGGGAACACTCCCAAAATCCAAATTCCCACGTACCAGCCAAGGGCAAGCCTTGCAAGCAGGGCCTTCTAAAAATAACAATTTCAGGCCTGCTATGTTAACATTTTTCTGCAGATACAAACCTTTTTTCAAAGTCCCATGAATGCATAAAAGTAGCTATTTCTAATAGTCTTGTATACCTTGTAACACTTAAGGGCATCTTTAGAAGAAGGCACTATAAATTCAGTAGATCTGAAACATTCCAAAGTAGGCTGAAAATGGATGGCTTTAGTCAATCTTATCTGTTCTCAACTAATATTTCTTTCTTATACTAAGTGACAGTTACATTAAGCTTCCTTTCATATCTCTTACCCAGAACTCCTCGGGCTGCACTGTCTAGGGTCCCTCCATGTCCAATTTTCAAAGTCTGCTTTTTCCTCTTGGTCCATTCTGGAGAAGGCATTCCAGCTTCTATAAGAATAATTGGGGTGGAAAAAGATAACTACCAAGACAAATGAAGTAGGAGCTCCATAACCATGAAGGGAAGAGGGGATGGTGTTTTCAAAACAAAGTATTGTACGAAGTTAATATATTAAGAAGACTTTGACCACATTACTAGCAAAGAACAGATTTAAAAATGTACTGCCACCCCTAAATTACAAAGAAATCGTATTCCAAAATTAGCTGTCTAGAAACTAGAATTCACTCTCTAAGAAAAAAGACCTTTTAAAAAAAGAGTAAATATCCCGGCTAATTGACAAAAATGTAGTAAATTCTTGGTAGTAGTGGGCTGTTAGAGAATGATGAAAAGAAGTTAGTTTTAATATAGAAAGATAGTTTTAAAAGTCCTCAATTTCCATTTCTAAATTTCTTCCATGTTATTTGCTGGTACCTCCCACTACCTAACGTTGGGAGTACATTTCATACAGGGCCACTTTTAAGTATACTAACTTCCCAAACTACCTATATCCATTGTCCCCCTCTCCTAATCAAAACTTTCAGTTCATTAAAGAATCTAATCTCAACAAAAGGTTATGTGGGAAGGAAGTAACAGTTAAATTGCATCTTAATTTCCAAAGCATTTAGCTTTTTTTTAAAAAAAGAGGATGCCAACCTGGCTTACCTCATATTCCTGTTGTAAAGATAAAATAATGTTACCTCAAAGTGCTTGATAAACTACAAAGCACTATAAGTTGTTATGATGATGATGATGGCATATAACAATTTACTGAGAGAATACTGGCTATTAGACTTCAAATGAAGAAACACAGAAGAGCAGGAAAAGTTGTATTGGTCTATACCCTCCCAAACCCATCAAAAACCTTCCTTATCACCACTGACACCAAGAAGATAAAAAATAGAGCAAAAGAAAACTAAAAGAGAGGACAAAGAAAGGACAAGGAGAAAGCAAAGCCAACAGTGGAAGAGAAGCCAGAGTAAATGGTTGAAAGGATTTGTTGGGTTGCTCCGCCTCTCAGCATAATTACTACCCTACTGGTAGTGGTCTCTGGAACATGTCCTGGTGTGATGCTCTGATTACATCACCATGCCTGGAAAGGCATGGTTGTCTGCTTTGACATATGCTTTGACTTCTACGGCCAGACCTAGGGTTCAAACTCTTCACCTTTCACTTGCAACCTATCATGAATCTCTCATCCATGAATTTATAGAAACCTTTTGGGGAATTCTTTGCATTTTCAACTTGACATTCCTTGGAGTATGAAGGCTTCATAAATGTGCTATTTTCCTCTTGTGCCCAAATTTACCTCCTTCTAACTTGCAGACACATCACCTCTGTTATATCGGAATTTGGTTCACCCCACTGAACCAAATATTCATGAATAAATATTTATTAAAGTCTTTCCTAGCTATAAAATTTTGGTATGTTTCAGGCCTTGAAGGATTCAAACAGACAATGAAAAGTGGGGATTTATAGTATGTCAGAAATCGATGTAAGGGGCCGGGAGCAATGGCTCACGCCTGTAATTCTAGCACTCTGGGAGGTCAAGGCGGGCGGATCGTTTGAGCTCAGGAGTTCGAGACCAGCCTGAGCAAGAGCGAGACCCTGTCTCTACTAAAAATAGAAAGAAATTAGCTGGACAACTAAAAACATATAGAAAAAATTATCCAGGCATGGTGGCTCATACCTGTAGCCCCAGCTACTCAGGAGGCTGAGGCAGGAGGATCGCTTGAGCCCAAGAGTTTGAAGTTGCTGTGAGCTAGACTGATGCCACGGCACTCTAGCCCAGGCAACAGAGCAAGACTCTGTCTCAAAAAAAAAAAAGAAAGAAAGAAATCAATGTAAAGAAAGGCAAGGAATGTTATTAGAGGCTGTGACCATTGATTGTGGCCTAAACTGGTGGTCGTCAAACATGGCCGGCATCAGAATGTGGGTATCTTTAAGAACCTTCCCAGGTAATTTTGACAGTGAGTTAGAATGAGATTTGGGAAGCCCTAGTCTAGCTAACATAATACAGAATGGGCCAATCACAATTCTATATTCTAAGCAATGCAGAAATGGAGGATAATGAGAATGTCTACAGCTGAATGAGTGGCTTCCAGAAGATGGCCTACCAACAGCCTTGAAACAATCACTTTTAACTAAGTTTCAACAAGAAACTTTAGTTCTTGGAGGCAGATTAATCGGAAGGCCAGGACATGGCTTTGACCTTCTCAGAAACTTGTCTGAAAGAATGGTAACCATTACCTTGAGGAACAAAGAAGCCATAGTTTAGCTAACAAATCAAAAAAGCAGTAATTCTATCAAGGAAAAAAAGCTCTATGATGACATCACAATACTTATATTCCTCACTTCAACATCCAATATATGACCCATTCTTACAGGCAACGAAGTATAATGAAAGCATAACAAATGAATAAGTAGGTACAACACTGGAATTAAACATCTACAAGAGTGTACCTATTTGCCAATAAATATTTAAATCTGTATTGTGCCGGTTATAAGTAACAAATTCCCATCAGAATAATTTGGTTTTGCAATTGCACTTGTACCCCATGAATATATACAAATAAAAAATAAATGAAACAAAAAGAATAATTTCATTTTGCATTTAAAAAAAAATGTAAAGTTTGCCAGGGGATACTAAACAACGTAAGAAAGTTCCTGTAGTGGTTTAATGGCAAGATGGGATAGGGCCAAACTCTGAAGGGCCTTGAATAACTTAGCTAAATAGTTTTACCACCAAAAGCTGCAGAAATTACCAGGCTCTGAGCTCAGTTAGGGGAAAAGATGCTTTCTTTCATCTTGACATCTCTATAGGTTGGCACAGATCTGACTTACTGCAGGTGTCCAACAAACTGAAGGTTCCTTGATGTCACTGTGTGAAATGATCTACTGGGAGATGAACTGCGTGGGCTTTTCTATCTTCCCAGTGTATATGAGTAAACAAATTAAAAGAATGCACTTAAGTGATCAAGTTATATTTACTCTTCTCAAAATGTGGTCCATAGACTACTTACACTAGAATCACCTGGAGCAATTGCTTCAAAATGCAATTTCCTAAAAATACTCCCGACGCTCAGAATTACAACCTGAGAGGGCAGGAATTAGGAATCTACATTTGTATAAGAGAATTTAAGTAATTCTTATGCCCACTGAAACGTGAAAACCGCTGTAATAAGTCTTGGTTAACTAAGCATTTCCAATTATTTTTAAGAATTCAACTTTAAGGGTGCAGAGCCAGTGCTTCCTTTTGGTGGAGTTCATCCACAGGAACCAAACAAAAGCCTCCTGAGCGATTCGATTACATAAAGTAGGTCTGCATGCTCATGGACGAAGGTTTACTGTGTAAGTATGGGGCGGGGGCCGGGAGAGGGAGGAGTCCCCCTTGAAAACTACAATTGCCAACTAGGCTACAGGAGTTTAGGCTAAGGCAAGTCCAAGCCTGAGATGCCCCAGATTTCTGTGCAGAGCTAATTCAGTGGTCGTTCTCCCTTTCCCTTCCTTTAATCTCATGAGCCATGAGCATGGCGAAAAGCCCAATGTGCTCCCCTCTCGCGTAGACTGCCTCAGCCTGGTCCCCACCCGGGCTGCAGTACCTGCCAGCAGCTTCTCCTTCAACCGATTCAGCAACTCGGCTGAAGTGGGCCCTTTGGGCTTGTGCACAGCGAACACGCCGCTCAGAGACAGCAGCTTAGTAGCTAAAGCGGCCTTGGAGACCCTGGCTTCGGATCCGGTCCTGGCCGCGGCCGCAACGGTCGCCGCTGCAGCCATAGCTGAAGGGGTCGTAGCCATTGCTGCGGCTGTTCCTGCAGTTTCAAGGACTGGGACAGTGTCTGTCTTTGAAGAGGACGACGGCACCGCCGCTTCGGCAGCAGCCATGCTTTTGTAAGCCAGATCTGTTTTTTACCCTGGAGGCGCATACTGATGACGCAACAAGAGTGCGCCTGACATACCTCTCTTGCCCATACAGCAAAGCTGGGCGGACTGGAGGGGGTCGCAAGGGCTTGTGGGAATTGTAGTCCATAGTTTTCCCGTTCTGGCCGAGGATTTGTGCCCTCTGAGGGCTCTGGTGGAGCCGTTTTTCTCCTGTAGTCCTACCTACTTTTTACGTGGGCTTAGTTGCGTGCTGCACCGGTAGTTTGGAGCTGCAGTCCTAAACTTTCCGACCCCAAATGCCAAGGCAGTATATTTTAGGCAGGGAATCTCTTCATATCCCGTAGCATCCTCGTCTCTGGAACTAAGAGGACCCAACATCCAAGAATAGAAAACTTGAAATACTAACTTGTGCTGCGGCTTGTAAAAATCCGTGGCTCCCTGGGCTCACTGGTTTATTCGATTTATTGTGCTCTTGGATTCACATTCACGTTCAGAATTAAAATATATGCGAATGTAAACTCTATTGGAGCAAGGAACCTATGTATCTTGTTCACTGCGATATCCCAAATGCCTCACGCATAGTAGGCGCTTAAATAACTGCATGGGAATATATAAATGAATACGAGTTCTTCAACTTCCCCAAAGAAAAGGTCAAGGCAATGGTAATTTATTTGGGCTTATTTTGATGTCCCTCATGCCCCCTTGTTCACCTCCAAAGCCCTACCGCCCCCATGGCAATTCTTAATAATTCTAAGATTTTTAATACGAACTCTTCTGCGGGTTGCATTCCTAGTACACATTGCTTAGATATCAAAAGGCATTGTTGCAATTCAAAAAAATTAACTGCTTTCAATTTGAGACCTTCTCTCTAAAAGTTACTCACTCCCCAGCAAAACTGAGCAACATTCTAGCACAAGGCAGAATGGAGAAAAATTCTTCATTTTACTTCTGCTCCAGATACATTAAATGCTATCATGAGTATTGTGAGACAGATAAAGTTCATTTTCATTGTTTTCCCAGTTTCCTTACAGCCAGCTTTTCTTATCATCATCCTCTTGGACATTAATATCTGCTATCCTAATGATGCCTCTTAGCAGTTGAGAATAACAATTACGGGACTCCATTTGAACTTGCACCCATTTATGCAACACATACACGGCAGAACAATTGTTTTAAACACAATATTTATTCTATATTTTAACCTTTTCCCCATTTCAATCAGATCACCAGACTCCAATTAAATCTTTGTCTGGGGTGCACAACAACGTGAATGTATGCAATGCCACAGAACTACACACTTACAATGGTGAAGATGGAAAATTTTATGTCATATAAAATTTCTGAGGGAGTTTTTGCAGAATGGAAAGCTGAGACTCCTAGAAGGAAGTCACCTACTCTTGTGTTCTTACTATAAAAGCCTAAACTAACTGAAAAGATTATGCAGGGGGGGTGCCTTGGAGGCCAGAAGAGAATTATTTAGATAATAGCAGAGAGAAACTGAAAGACTGGCATGTTGCATGATTAGGGGAGACCTGGGCCTGCTTCAAGATTTTCCCTTTTCCAGGAAGGTGTCAAGACTTCAGAAGGGATAGCTGCACCCTAGGGAGCAAGGTATTCTTTAACCGCAGCAAAGATTTCTGTGTTCTCCTCTTGGCATGGAAGCAGAGAGCCAGGAACTTGAAGGGAAGGTTTCAGGCTTAAACAATGATGACATAGAGATTAGAGGCCTTTTCTCAATTGTGTGGATATCAGCAAGCTTTCCTAATTCTCTTGTGACTCTGGAGTGGAAGACGCAGAGGGGAGGCAGAACTAGGAATGACAAATAATGCTTATATTTGAATTCTCCATCAGCCCAGTGCAGAATCAGAGTTAATTTGATTTATTAAAAAAAAAAAAAGAAATGGGTATGTCTTGCACATTTGATTTCTGGGATGCTAGGGTACAATAAAATTAATTCTGCTCTGCTATCAAATGTGCATTCTTGGCATCAGAAGCACCAAGCTCTAATTTTCTGAGGTCACCTATGTCTCCCACATTAGGCGAGCCTTGAATTCACAGGTCATCTTACTTAATACATGTATGAGTTTGGACTCTTTGGTTAGAAGCAACAGAAACTGATTCATACCAGCTTGGAGGTGTGGGAGAGAATTTATCAGAAGTAAACTGGAATACTATTCAGAACCTGAGAAGTTCTCTCTCTCTCTCCCCCCACCCCACCACCACCCCCTTCTGTCTTTTTGGCTGCTCATCCTTCTTCACTTGTCTCACCTTCATTCTTCTCTCCTACTTCTAACAGACTTTTTTTTCTACTCCTCATTCCACATCTTTGTTTTAAACCTATACCAAGGACTCGAGAAAGGCATAGTTTTTAACAGTTCAGAGAAAAAGATGGACATGTTCCATCTTTCCATGATTTCCATCACGAAATTTGAGAGAGCTGGAAAACTCTATAAAAAAAAATCTTCTGTCTATGCAATTGAAAATTATCCTAATAAGGAAGAAAATGGTAAAGTAATTAAAGAAACCAGTGGTTGGCTGCACAAGGAACTCTGCTGTGAGCTGAGGAGTCTAAAGGAAATACATTATGGTATCTTTAGAAGTAATACCTGGAAAGTTTTACTTTCTAAGGCATAAATATCTGTAATGTTTTAATTTTGAACATATATTTCTTTTATAATTAGGAAAAATAGTAGCAACAAAATAAATCTTAAGATTAACCAAAGAATATGTTTGTTTCTTTAAAAAAGACAGGGAAGATAATAAAAAACTAGAAATTATCACAAGCATGTAGGAGTAAAGGCCAGAAAAGCTAATATCGAAATGATCTTTGAATAGGAAAAAAATCCCAGAGATGGTAAAAGAAAACAAAAATGAACTTTGAAAACAGATTTTAAAAAAGAAAGAAAAAATCAAAAAAGAGACAGATTCACTGCTGAAGGCCAATAAGATAAAGGTAATGAACGCCAAAGGCCCAGCACACCTCCCACTTTGCCTGTCTTCTCCATCAAGGAGAATGATTTTTTGGGTGGAAATAGGAAGAGCAAGCAATTAATAAGAAGAGAATGATGTCTATGAGGGTGAAAAGATTGGAAGAGGACATCTCCCTGGACTAAGTGAGGTTAGATCTTCTGGTCCTGGCAATTATATCTTGGGGTGGGGTGGGGAGAGGGGATATATGACAACTTGCAAAAGAAATTGCTTAAGGGAACAAACTTTCGTTAAATAAATGCTATGTGCTGACATTTAGTATGTTCCTCAATGTTCCTAGTAACTCTCAAGTTGTGCTAGTGGAGAAAATAAAGTGTAGACTGGATGCTAGAACTTCACTATAAGGTAGGTATTATCATTATTATTATTATCCCCATTTTATAAGTGAGGAAACTAAAACTAAATGAGGTTAGATAATATGGCCAAGGACATATAGCTCACATAAAGTCAGTGGATATGTCAGGGGTCCCCAAGACCAACCACAGGGTGGATTCACTAGAAAGACTCAAGGATTCAGAAAAGCTATAATACTCATGGTTACAGTTTGTTATAGTGAAAGGATACAGATTAAAATCAACAAAAGGAAAAGGCACATGGAATGAAGTCTAGTTATCTTCTCTCAGTGGAGTCACATGCACCATGCACGGCACTTAATTCTCCTAGCTGAAGTGTGACATGTTTGAAGTGTTGTCCACCAGGGAAGCTCGCCTGAGCCTTGATGTCCAGAGTTTTTACTGCAAATCAGTCATGCAAACACAGTGCCTGCAGGACTGACCTTAGCCACTCAGTCTCTAGTCTCAGCGGTTAAATTGATACAATGGTGGCCCAAGGCCTCAGCTATACAAAAACATTCTTGGGTGGGTGCAGTGGTTCATGCCTGTAATCCTACCACTTTTGGAGGCTAAGGCAGGAGCACTGCTTGAGGCCAGGAGTTCAAGACCAGCCTGAGCAAGAACGAGACCTTGTCTCTAGAAAAAATAGAAAAATTAGCTGGGTGTGATAGCATGTGCCTTCCAGCTACTCAAGAGGCTGAGTCAGGAGGATTGCTTGAGCCCAGGAGTTTGAAGTTGTAGAAAGCTATGATGCCACAGCACTCTAGCCCAGGCAACAGAGTGAGGCCCTATCTAAAAAAAAAATTCTTATCAAGCAGGACATTCCAAAGGCTCAGAGGTTGTCTCTCAGGAGCCAGAAAAAGGCCATTTTTTTCTTTGGAATGAACAGAGTTTGAGTAACCCAAGCTTGCTGGGTTAACCCTTTACAGCACAGTAGATAGGCTGGCACTGGAACCCCTGCCTCATTCCAAATCCTCCCAAGCCTGCTACAACCACTGCCAAAGATCTTGGAGGAATCATGGAGAACTACTTCTGGACTAATTCCAGAAGACATAATTTGGGTAAATATTATTTCAGTTTTCAAATGGAATTGAAGGCAAATTCAGTAAATTACAAACAATAAATCTGGACAAAATTCTAGAGTAAGTTCCTAATAAGATAATTGCATAAAAAGAAACTGGTGATCATAAAAAGCCAGAATGAGTTTGTTAATTCAACAAACATTTATCAAGAATGTACTATGTGTAAAGCATTGGGAATTCATCAGTAAGCAAACAGTCCCAATCTCTGCTTTGCCAGAGTTTAGAATTCAGCAAACATATATTGAGCTTCTACTATGTGCCAAATGTAAAAGTCAAGTTCTTACCTTTAGAACTCTTTTTAAACAAGTCACGTTGTACTAACACAGTCCCTTTTTTGGTAAGTTCACTAGACTAGTAAGTGAAGAAAATCAGTAACCATGGTTTATCTGTAATTAAGCAAGCTACTGGGTAAGGTTTATCATGATACTCTCAAGAACAAGATCATGAAATGTGAGCATTGTAAGGAAAGTTAGATGGAATAGCTTTTGAAAAAGAATGATGTTTGACGGATTAATGTCACTCAAAAGAGATTATTTCTAGTGTTGTATAACAGGGCAGCATCTGGGGCCCTGTCCTGACCAAAAATTCAAGTATCATTGAC